CTCTGGTTGGTTTAATTTCTTATGCCTCATGTGTTATGCGTTATGCAAAAGTCTGTGCTCCCCGCTTAAGCCTTTAGGCCGTCTACCTGCGTTTACATGCGTTAAAACTAGGTAGGTCGTGCAGCCTAAAGGCTTTCACACATGAAATGCATAACAGAGCATAAGCATAACATACTGCTGGATTCACACTGTATCCGATTTTCGTCGTACTACGCTCTTCAACCAATCAGAAAACAGAATTCCGATGATACGAAGCACAATCCATCGGAATCCTGTTTTCTGATTGGTTGCAGAGCGTCGTACGACGCAAATCGGATGCAGTGTGAATCCAGCATAAGGAATTAAGTTTAAAGCGGGGAGCACAGACTCTTGCATAACGCATAACACATGAGGCATAAGAAATTGAACCAACCAGAGTTCTCTGTTACATAGAAGGGAAAGAAACGGAGAACTTCGATTGGTACATATTCTTATGCATTACGTGTTATGCGTTATGCAAGAGTCTGTGCTCCCCGCTTTAATGGTATGTTTCCACTGTTCGCGTCATGGCTCCGGCACACCAGCGCGATGTTCGTCGCGCGTGACACGCGATATCCAATAAGAGTATATATACCTTTAGAAAGAGAACATCGGTAAAGCTGTACACTCACTTGGATATCGCGTGTCGCGCGCGATGAACATCGCGTTGGTGGGATGGCACCCAGTTGGACACGGCTCAATTGAACAAGAGCCATTCACAGCACTTGAGACTACAAAACTCCTAAGCACCGGTCGCTGTGATTTGTGGTGTCCAATCGAGCTGTGATCAATCGGGATCACCCCCTTCAGTTCTGATGAACCACTCGTCCGTGGCGGACGCGCCTCGTCTCGGGTGTTATTCCTTTGTATATTTTTGAGAGTGTTGCCGATTTTGACCGAGCATTGCATCATACATAATCATCCCGCGATCTTGGACGACCCGTTCTGTCGTCCTGACGCGCGTCCTTGCGGCGTGACGACGTCGTATGACGCAGGCGCCCGGTGTCCGAGAGGGCTTCTCCATTTTCGCGGGTGTTGCATCATTTTTTATATACGGAAAACAAACATAAACGTGATCTGGCCGTATCGACCTCCTATTTGTTTTTCGAAGGTGGGAGTCATAATTAAAGAAGAAGAGGGGATCACCCCCTTAAATCAGTATGACAAAGATACTAAGGAGAGTACTAAACATGGCCGACATGCTATGAAACTACATTTAGGCTGGTATTCATAGTCGATTCTTATTTCAAGATCGTCTTAAGTAATGTCTTAAGACGCTAATGCAGCCCTCTGATTGGTTCGTGACTTCTTAAGGCCGTACTTAAGACGGTCTTGCATATAAAATCTGACTATGAATACCAGCCTTAAACTATAGGTCTGTTTTCTGTGGCTGAACTAATGTACACTTTAGGAACTTAAAGTGAGATAGATATACGTTTGATATTTGTCGAAAGCGAGAAAGAGAGTTCTAGAACAGTCCAGGAACAGAAAACAGACCAGGGTAACTATCATGAAATATGTCGGAATGGATTCCGATCGGAATTATTCCATTTTCCCTAGAAAACACAATAGAAATCTAGGGAATAATTGAATATTTCCAATTGAAATCGATTCCGACTTGTTCTATGATAGGTACCCAGGGGGTCAATCATGTATTTTCACGTGAAACTTTCCACATTTTATTTTTCACTTTTCACTTTTCATTTTTCACTCATCGAGGTCTCACGTGAAACTTTTCATATAACGATTACATATGCGATATTGCATGGACGACTGAGCAATCCATATAATCTATAATATATAATAATAGAACCTATAATAACAGAAAGAAAAATAATAATGAACGTGACTGTGAAACAAAAATAATAATATATTATAATATATTTCACAAAAACTACTATTTGTATGTATGTATGTATGTATGTATGTATGTATGTATGTATGTATGTATGTATGTATGTATATATGTACGTAATAATAGTTTTTTTTTGTAATATATATTATTACAATAGTTTCACATATATAACCTCTCTTCCGTCAATGCGATATTATTTCTTCAATTATTAATGGCATCTGCCTTGAAATAAATTGTCGAAGGATAAGACATGTTAGTTCCGAAGTATATTTATCAATTCCCTAGATTTCCGTCTTTCCGCCACCACGGTCCTTGGCTAAAAAGTTCACGTGAACAATTTCACATTTCACAGTTGGGAAAGTTACATGATCCCCCGAAATCATAGATGATCATAGAGTTCACGTGAAACTTTTCACTTTTCACGTTTCCGCCCTAGGGGAAAAGTTACATGATTGATTCCCAGGGGGTCGATTCTGTATCTTCAATCAAGGTGAAAATTACAAAAATGATCCAATTTACTAGGTGTTGACCAATGAAATTATTAATATTCTAGTAAATTCACTCACTTTTGTAATTTTCACCTCGTTTTGAGATACAGAATCGATCCCCTTGGGCCCTATTCTTGAAAAGTATCGCATATGAAAAACTAGAGAAATACTATAGTATGCGTAACATATACTATAGCATTTCCCTAGTTTTTCGTATGCGATACTTTTCAAGAATAGGGGCCCATATGTCAATCAAGATAAGACGTGTAGGATAATGTAAGATAGAATGTATAGGATAAATTGAAATAGAAATGTCACTAGTACTATAAATGGCTGCCATGTCACGCAATTGGTTAGATTGCAACAGCGAATCAGAATGCATAACACCGGTTGCGCCTCTCTGAGAATTCTAGGACTCTAGATTGCATAACTGCAGTCTTTGCAGCCAATAGCGAAAGACAGACGCGCGTCGTTTCCGGCGAAATAATAGAGGAATGGCCGCCAAGAGTATCTGGTTTGTTCTCTCCGGCTCTCTCCCTCGTAACGGCGGTGCGAACAACCGGTCCTTCAAGCACTACGAGAAAATCCGGAAACATCGTCGAGCATAATCACGTTGAAGGCTCGATCGAGGTAAAATAATATTCCTAGCGATTATCCGCTCACGTAGCTGCTCTTATTTTTTTATTAACAGTACATTTCGAATTAATTTTGGGATAAAAGCGACGATCCGCGTCGTGTCGAATTATTAAATCGAATTTCTCATGTTTCAGAGTATGGACTCTCGAAGACTTTTATCGAGAGCATAAAGCCCTCCATTCATTTATTAATTATTTGAAAGATCAATCAAGGAATAGAAAAACAACGATCTAGCAGGCCAAGATGTATCTGTACAATCTGACTCTCCAACGTGCCACGGGTATCACACATGCGGTGCATGGTAATTTCTCCGGCAGCAAAATGCAGGAGATCCTCGTCTCCCGTGGCAAATCGTTAGAGTTGCTGCGACCGGATCCAAATACGGGAAAGGTCCACACCCTATTGACTGTCGAGGTTTTCGGCATTATCCGATCTCTCATGGCGTTCAGACTTACCGGTGGAACGAAGGATTACATCGTCGTTGGATCGGATTCTGGACGTATAGTCATATTAGAGTATATTTCTGCCAAGAACATCTTTGAGAAGGTACATCAGGAGACTTTCGGCAAAAGTGGATGTAGACGCATCGTTCCTGGCCAATATCTTGCTATTGATCCAAAAGGAAGAGCAGTTATGATAGGTACAGTATATATTCTTTGGTTTTCCAGTCCTTGGCTGTGTACAAGAATTACGCCCCGATAACTCTAAGCTATAAGTTACGTTACGTATATTATAGTAAAAATGCACCCTAGAGTTATCTAAGTGTAATTCCTGAACGCAGCCCTTTATTATACAGAATGGGTCATTTATGTCCCGAGTTAATTTTTATCACTTTAACAAATATATAAGAATTATTAAGTGATTCTTATATGTTTAGAACAAAAACTATCTAATTTTAACTTTTGAGCCAAAATATAAAGCCATCGATACAAAAAGAATCAATGTGGGTAAGATTTCAGAGATTGTAAAGTACTAATACACATACACATGTGTCTGAGCTTATCAACACTTCGCAGTCTCCAAAATCGTATTCACAAATTACATTAAATTTTTTTTGCATCAGTGGCTTCCCAGTCAGAATTGATAATGGAATCGACATCAAATTGATGTTGATTTGATGCTTTTGACATCGATTCAATGTCGATTCCATTTCTGACTGGGTTTGTGTTTTAGCTCCCGAGTTAAAACTTACAAAATATGAGTACTTCAAAGTATTTCAAAGTAATTTAATATTATGAAATTTTTTAAATTGATTCGAAGTATTCAAACTAATTTTCTGGAAAACTTTGTTTTTTTTAGTGTGACATTATTTTAACTAATGAATGATATGATTGTTAAGTACCATATGATTACTTTGTTCGTGTTTCAACTGATTAACATTGATTACAACTTCTGTTATTAATGATGGTACTTTATGAATAATAATTACAACTGTTTTGATTCAAATCAGGGGTGTAATATTTTGTTATTTTTGTTTTAGGTGCTATCGAAAAGCAGAAACTTGTGTACATTCTTAACAGAGACGCTGAGGCCCGTCTTACAATCTCGTCTCCATTGGAAGCTCATAAGAGCAACACATTAGTGTATCATACAGTTGGTGTCGACGTTGGTTTCGAGAATCCTATGTTTGCGTGTTTAGAGATTGATTACGAGGTAAACTTGCATAATTTTTTTTATCACATAACAGATATCGATATTAAGTATCATATGATTATATACCGTGTTTCAACTGATTAACATTGATTACATCTCTTTATTTATATGATGATAC